GGTCCCGCCGGTCCCCGGGGGCGCCAAACCCCGGTCCCCTCAGGGGCCACCGCCTAAACTAGTGCTGAGTGGGCCCTTGGCGGGTCGGCGGCTGTCCCCGCAGCCGGCTGGGGAGCTGCAGCGGCCAGAGGCGCCGCTGACAGCGTTAATTGCGGGAGGGGGCTAAGCGATCCCTGTTGGGTTTTGAGTGGGGTTTTTTTCATTCCCTGGTTGAATATCTGACAGTGACAGAGGTCCCTGGAGATGGATGCATCTGTACATGAAAGAACTGCAGCGTGGAGAGCGCAATGTGCAAAAATTTAAATAAATAAACGCAATGCAAAACAGGAGCGGTGAAGTCAGACTCTTCGTAGCGCCCGTGGTGCAACGGAGGAGGAAAATAGCTGTCCTGCCCGGGCTAGGTGCCGTAGGGCGGTCAGGCAGTGCTGCTGCAGGGGCAAGGGGGCTGGTCTACACCGGCCTCGCAACTTTAAAATAGTTGAGTTTTCTACGATTAACTTCCCAGCATTTACTTTGTAGTCATAACATTTTCTTGTAGAATTTGTTTTGCCAGCAAATTTGGAGCAGCGTCGGAAAGCTGAAGGAAGAGTATAGAAAGAAGCAGCACAAAGTGTTTCAAAGGGTTAATTGCTAAAGCGACTTTAACTGAGTCATTCTTGCTGAGTCTTTAAAGGTAACTGGGAGAACTAACGGTTTACTTAATGTGATAAGAACAGTCCCACCAAAGGTCAGGTGGTGGCCGGGGCAGACGCTTAGGAAAAGCAGTAGGAGGCATACGGGATGACTTTTTGCCTGTATGATCATGCTTTATGGCAATCCGGCAGCTTAAGGACTGCCAGAACCAGGTCTCGCATCCAGTCCACCCTGTTTAATAGCCGTCAGCTGGCAATTCTCCATTACTTGGCTCATGCCCTTTCTGAACCCTTTTTAGGCTGTCTATGCCACAACATCCTGTGGCACTAAGTGCCATAATTTCATTAGGTGTTTGTGAAAAAAGCTTTCTTTTACCACTGGCTTCACTTAGTGGTCTGTAGTGTTTTTATTTTGAGAAATGGAGAGTTGTTCCCCATTTTTTTAATCCCTGTTAGTTCTCATAATTTCACAAACTTCTTCCAGCTCTTTGCTTGCCGATGGGGCTTGGTTCATTTGGTTTTCCTTCTTAGGGATGCTGTTTTGTGTCTCTGAACATCCTCATCCTGCTACTCTGCATCTTTTCCATGTTCCTTTTGAAATGGGATGGCAAGACCTACATGCTGAAGTCAAGGTATACTCGAGCAATAGCACTAATTGTTTGTTCAATTTTTTCTTCATTCCTCTCCTAAATGCTCACAAAGGTTTTAGCTTTTTTTGAATGCCACTGAGCTAAGTTTCCTGAGAATTTTTGCTGCTCCACCACAATCCCTTTTCTGAGTGGTGATAGTATAAATAAATAGTACTCATGCTATCCTCACTCATACGAGGGTAGTTAGGGTTATGTTTCCTCTGTGTAACCATCTAGCATTTATCAACATTGAATTTCATCTGATATTTCATTACCGTATCACCAAATCTTGTGGGATTTCCCACAATCATCTGCATTTTTGGTCATTCTGAAAAATTCTGTAGCACCTTCCAGATCACCAGAATATCTTTGCACCATTGATCCCAACACTGACTTTAAGGGGTCCTAAGGAACCTCCCTGCTTTGCGAAGATGTATTCCTAGTCCATATTTTTTAACCCTTAACCAGATTCAGGAAATCCTGCCTGCCTGTCCCATGACAGCTTAGTTTCGTTAAGAGACTATGAGGAGGGACCTTGTTGAAGAACTTTCCCGAATCCACTTATCACTGGCATCATTTGTACCTCTATGCTTGCTGATTCCTTCAGAGAGTTTCACTGGTGTGTGTAACACCAGACTTCTCTCCACGAATGCTGTGTTTGTTGTTTTGATCCTAGAGCCTGTAACTCCAGTATCGTTTACAGTAAGTTGCTTAAGTTACACAACCTTAACTAAGCAGTCTTAAGATCATAAGACTAAATAGTCTTAAGACTAACTGGGTGATTTTAAGTGCTTTGGTGTAGAGCTCTGATCCTATTAATTATCAGGCAACATTAAAAAATAGAACAAAAAAAGTTTCTTCAGCCGACGTTCTGCTGTAGCCATAGGTATTGCATACGTTCAACAGCAGTGCATTAAGGTACATTTTTATTGTTATGTCATCATTAATTGTGACCAAAAGAAACAGGGTCATTTATGCTATAGCAAGAAAGCTATACTCAAGAAAGCTAGCCATCAGTGCCTGCAGAGATTTTAATTATGTGACTTGGGATTAAGTCACTGGAGGAGCCCTCTGTATTTCTAAACCCTTTTCCTGGTACTTCCATTAAGAGCAGTCCCAGTTGGTGAGATTGTTCACCTTCCCATGGTGAGGTCCCTTTGAATTCCCTGCCTGGCCTTGATTTTTCTGTTGCCCATAGTCCTCTTTATGAGAAACTGAACTCAACAAATAACAGTCTATGTATTGTATAAAGAAAATAAATGCTATTTTCTGCAAGAATCATTACCTGGAAATAGAGGTATCACTGAAACATCGGTAAGTATTAGGAAATCTAGCATCCATTTTTTCTTAAAATCCCCTAAATTGCCATCAGAGTAATGCTGTGAAACAATAGAAGTCAGGATCCTTGAACAACCACAGTTTTACTTATTTACTTGAATCTGATAATACTGCCCCCTTCTTTTAAAATTACTGTTAGTTTTCAGTCTTCTAGTAAATGTTCAGAAGAATGTTCAGAGCATGAAAAATAATACAAAGGTTTTCCATTCCCAGGAGGAATCAAATGGAATTTTAAGTGGGCTGACCACAGCTTTTATTTCTGCATAATGATTTCACATAAGGAACTAATTCACATAAGTAGTCAAAGAGTAACCTTTCTTACAGCTGTTTTTCCCAAGAGTGGATTAAAATACATTTATACCATTTTATTTCAAACATGATCTTGTTAATGATAGAATAGTGGATCCATTAGTATAAGCAAAATTCACTAAAGGTA